GAAGCGTACTTTAGGTCACCGACCTTTCGTTCTTTACAAGAACCAAGTATGAGTTAGCCGATCGCAATCCGCTTACACCAAGAGTAATTATTGCCTTCCCAAGGCTTATCGACTCTTCGGTTTAAATTCCATCACTTGTAACTAGTTAGCCACCAATTTAAGTTGAGGATGTGGTCGAGTATGAGTCTGACACCTCTTATCCCGCATGCGATGACGAGGAAGGCAAGCTGCACCAGAAGCGTGATACGAGCCCTGCTTGCGCCTTGCGGACCCCGTGTCCGTTCCCTGACTTCTCGTCAACTGAGGAACGTGGTGTAATCATCAATGACCTCGACGGGGAGCAGAGGCGGCAGCTTGAAGCTGCCCAAAAGGCGGCTCTAAAGCGCGCACATCCTCGGTCTGTCATTGACCCTCGTGTGGAAGATGGCTTCCGCCCTGCGGATCCCGCTTTGGAAGCGAAGGACGCTGTAACTTGATCATTACGCGTCCACATCATCGGGATGCCGGCCAGAACGGATGATGAACTTGCCATACGGAAAGGTCTTAGAGCTCGTTTTTTGGTCCCACGAGAAATTCCGTTAGACGTTTATCGCACGCGTCTAAGTGCTCAACGAGGTAGCTCTCGTGTACCCACAATGTGGACAATACCTATCGTGCTCGCCCCTGGCGAAAGCACTACAGATGACAACGCACGCTTTGAGCGATGGGTGCAACGGCACCGAAAACTTTCCTCACTGCATAACCTGCAGTTGAGCGACAAAAAATGGACGTGCGTGTGGAGCGACACCTCCGCTTTGAGTTTGCCAGGCTCAAGGCACGCCGTCGACATCCTTCGGATTGTCGCCATGCAGCGTATGGGATAACCCCTAATGCTCCCGCGAGCTCTGTGTCTTCGACCGCAAGAGCTTAGGGCCACTGCTTGAGCTCAGCTCATGGCCCGTCTACTTCCATGGCAATTGCCGGGAACCGCGGGGCGTCTGATGACGCGGGACGTCCTGATCTTTCCGATTGAAAGCGTCCACGGCGACTGGGCAATCTTA